AATAATTTCCTTTTGTAAGATTTTAAAGGTGATTTGTCAAAGTGAAATAGCATGATTGAAAAGGGAGAAATAAAGACACAATAATAGTCTTTAAAAAGCCATAAAATATTCTAATAAATTTTTGATAATTGGCTATGCATTGGAAGGTTTTCTGTTCTGCTTTCTGTTCTGCAGTTGCCTAAATGGAAAGAAGATATTGCTAGGTGCAGCCAGCGTTCTGACAACCCATGGAACTGAAAAATCATTTCCAATTCCTCCCTGTGGTTCTGACATCACATAAACAGATGCTCAGTGTCAGCTGACAGTATGATTTCACTCCAGCCTCTGGTAGAATTAGTGAACAGGGGCTCCATTAGCAACAGCAATGCCTGTTGCTGCTGAAATATGTGTAATTCAGTGGGGAAGGTCATGTGGCTGGGCAGTAAGACTCTAGACTCGGTGTTAAAGAAGAAAGATCTTGTTCAAATCTTGATTCTCTCACTTACAAGAGGTATCATGAGGTGAGAAATTCAAACTGATCAAGTCTATCTCCTCATCACACCAGGACAACAGAGTAAATGTGAAGTTACTACTTGACTATTGGGAGTTAAATGGAGCAATGCTCAAAAAGCACCTAGTGATCCCAAAATTCTGTCATTGTCAGTAAATATTTCATGTGTATTTATTAGGAATATTTATCCTGGCTTATGTTTATATTTTAGTTGCTAAATAAGCTATATTAAAATGTGTCTACACACACATACACATATCCCCAAAAAGAATGTTTATCCTATAGCTGTTGAATTTAACATCCTGTATTTATCAAGATTTTAACAGCATTATTCAAATTTCCTATTATTATTCCTTATCATTTCATTGTTTCAGCATACTCTATAATTGCCACAGAGATGTTTTGCATTTATCATAGGGATTTTCCAGTGTCATATCAAATCATGAAACTTTAATGTGTGGGAGAGTCAAACTAAGGATTGAACCTAGGGGGCACTTAATCAGTAAGTCACATCCCCAGCCCTTTTTTACATTTTTATTTAGAGACTCAGTCTCGCTAAATTGTTTAGGGACTTACTAAGGCTTTGAACTTGTGATCCTTTGTCTCAGCCTCCTGAGCTCCTGGGATTATAGATGTAAACCATGATGCCTGACTCAAATCATAAAGTTTTTGTAACAAGATTAAACACTACTAATTTATTTAATATGTAAATTCAGGTCTCCATTGGTTTATTTTCTTAAAACCTAAGATATTTCTGTGGAGAAGAGAATGGAGAACCCTTGTATTTCATTTTAATTAGAGACAATATGGTTTTGTGAACCAGTACCCAGAAATTTCAGTCTAAACTCTGATTTTCTCACTGGGCCACATATTACCTACAAGACCCTGGGGAAATTATTTAATTCTCTAAACTTGGTTAACTTATCTGTAATAGAAATACTAAAATAACTACATAAACATCTCCCTGGTTGTTATAAAGTCAAAATGACTCATTTATATGAAAACACTGTTTCTCAAAGAAAATCAATAGCATACAAACTAAACACACTTTCACTGTTTTTACTGTTGCTTAAATATAATGTTTGCATCTATAGCACTCAGACACCTGGTTTGCAGGGTCAGAAAAGAGAATAGACTTGCTGCTGTCAAGGTATAAAAATTACTTTGAAAATTATTAAAACTACATTTTTTATTTTGGTTTTCATATGAAGATTCTAAAATGACTGAATCAGTGCTTCTAAGCATATGGATGAGAATAGGAGAGAACAGACACCCTACAGAGAGCAGAATCCCATTAGACAGCCAGATTAGTATTTCTCTGGGCATTGCTTCTATATACTTAGTCTTCATGACCTGAGGAGTGAGACTGAAGGAGCCCAGGAATTTCTGTTTGCAGCTCT